GGCCGAATCCACTACACCAACCACAACTACCGAAACAACAGAAACAACCACAAGCACAACTGCGCTGAAAATCTCTACGTCAGGGTTTAGCCCTTCGGTTTCTGAACTGTTCGTCAGCACGGAATCTGTATCTGTTTGTAGCGGATGTGCGTGCTTTTGTTGCTGCGGATATTCCAGGTTCAGAATTGAATGCTCTAATTCCCCGTCCAAATCTTCTGTTTGTCCGTCGACTATTTGTTCGAAAGGTTTTTCCGTTCTTCCCCGTTGGTTCCCTTCATTCATTGGCAACTCGCATGTCAAACAGCCGCCATTCCGTCGCGATGGATTTTGCCTCCCCTCTGGACCAGGTGATGACAGTAGGCGGCCAAACAACCTTTTTATCAGTTCATTCGGTCAAAGGACACTGAAAGACTGGGGAGAGGACTTTTCCCGTCAGTTGAACGTTACAAGAGATTCTCTCGTCCCGTTCATCCGGCACTCATTTTCGGAATCCGGTGAGTAATATTTTTCCGGGTGTATTCGGTTCATATATTCAGTGCTCGCTTCTTTTTCCGTAAAACGTTTACCGTTGTTATGAAAAATGATTCTGAGTTCACCATAATTGTACCGGTGCTCACGCACTTTCAATATAACACAACAGCTTTCGTCCCTATCGCACCGAAAATTTGCCATGATTGATTCCTTTTCCCCACCCTATCGAAATCCAACCCTACCGTACGTAAAGGCACTTCCATATTGAATCTACTGTTAGAGCACAATTCGGTTCCTGATGGGTGCACCTCATGTTTTTTCTAGAATTGCATTTGAAAAATCACATATGCAATTAATTTGGGAAAAGTTAACTTTGATGTGTCTTGTTTGTCTGTCTTCTGTCTTTCAAAATTCAGGAACAGTAAAGTTCATGGTATCAGCCAGGATAAAAACATCATGGATGGATAAGTTGAGCAACCCGAACTCAACCCTATATGTGCTGGTCAGTCGACAATTTTGTGATCTCGTAAGTTCCGAGTGGACATCTCGGAGTCAATGTAAGACAAATGATGTATGCGTAATTCATCTGAATGATTTAGATCGACCTGCTGTTTTATTCGTATTCATCTTTATTGTCAACTTTTCATTCATAGAATCAATCAAATGATTTGATGGATGCATTTTGTTCGTTTGATTGGCGTCTATCTCAAGAAAACACCCATGAAACGCTTAAGACTACTACTCTCGGTCACACACAATTTGTCCAGAAAACGATTGCGCGGATCATGCTGGAACATAAGGAATGGTAGACCAATAGTGCCAGGCACGCGGTCAGACCTGTATGATCACATCACCAAATTTGCGTTCAATTGATGAGCACAAGAGTGCACTAAACACCCTGAAGGTTTTGTATGAACAGTCCCACAGAGCACATTGCAAATAAAACAGAGTGGAGAATATCGTCATCACCGTCATCATTGTACAGAGTACTTCGCATACATAACTCTTCAAGCATTATTATCTTATGAAATGACCACAAAAACGCCACTGCTGTCGGTTTGCTTTCCCGTCTTTCAGTCTCCAATCAACCAGTGATGAAATCCTTTCGAACCCTGCCTTGGAGACGAGAAATCTCCGCTCTACCTAATCACTCTCAGTCTCTCTTCACGACACCCATCGACGTCTATATGATTTTCTTCAGGTTAGACAAGTACCTGCCAATACCGATACATTCTAAAACAATAAAACAGCTCACTTCTGCCAATTACACACCCAAACTATCGCGCCTGCTCCGGAGTATAAAATGATGAAAGTCTCCAGTTGATGAATGCCTTTAATCTGCACATAAACTGAAATAAAGCCCAGTGGTTGATAGTTTGCACCCTCTGTACCCCCAAGAGAAGCAAAATGTTGACTTACACCATGTAGTCTGCAGGTTTTACATGGTCGTTTGGTTTTAACATCGCAGAGACTGCCCTTCTTGATTTGCTTCTAATCACTACTTGCCCCGGAAAACACTGTCTACCTAGGAACTGCTTCTATATCAAATTATCCAACAAATTAAAGTGGAAAACCAGTCTAAGATAACTTTAAAGTACTCTAAATACTACGAAATTTCTCAAATACCCGGTATATCGACCTCAACAATGCTTTTATCAAGCAGTCACAAAAACGTTCAACGATTAAAGCAGAAATTCAACGATCAAGTTATGTATTTTGATAGTTGTCGGATGATGTACACGAACATGCTTAGATGCATGCTGACGATGATCCTTCGCGATTTGANACAGGGCATCACCGTAATGTTTTCCAAACATGTCATTCTCCAACCCTGTTAGTTCATTCGTCCCTCAGGATCACCCGCGATGACCTAGGCATATTGACTTTGGAGCTCCGTTGTGATGTAACTTTTGTGATTCTCCATATCATTTATATTGGATTGAGTGCTGTAGAATGTGGAGCAATTCTGAGAAAGCTCACCATTTAGTTCAGTTCAGTTTGGACAGGACGAGTATGACTCTTGCCAGTCGAGCGTTCAGTTCGTTGTGTTGTCGTTGGGTGGGAGTGGCTTCGAACACTGCGTACAGATAATTTGTTACTTGTGTTCTTCTCAATCAAGCCACGTTTCCAGAGCGTTTTCACCTTGGTTGGGTATGTTAAAAAGGAAGAAAACAAGCAAAGACATCTTCTCGCCTCATCGGTGAGAGACCTTAAGGTTCGCAGGCTTTTCTATGAACAGAGCCCATATCGCAGGACATTCAGTTTGAGAACACCTCCAACAATCAAGCCCGATTTGGGTCCGTTTCAGAAATTTCAGCCCAAGGTGGATTTTATTCTTACTGTATCCACTCTAAATGCCAACCTCTGGGGACGTTGCCGACCAAGAGGCGTTCAGGGCTACCTTGAAGGCGGCAACTTTGGCGTAGTTGACCACTTCTGAGATTAACCTGTTCCACAAAGGTATGACAGGAAGGTATGGTAGGAAGAATTTGGCCCGTACCTCCAAGATGGCGTGATTTTGTTGGAGTTTGAAGCCATGAACTCTAGTGTTTTGTGCACGAGAAATCGTAAACATATCACCTAGGTTGAGTTTCGATAAACCTCTTACAATTTTATGTCTCTATCAGATCTTCCCTAACTCGTCTACGCTCCCGCAAGAAGAGATTAGGATCTCTTAACCGCTGCACATAGCTTTTCCTCTTTTGCCCAGTCAGGATTCGGGTAGCCAGTCGTTACACTCTTTCTAAACATGCTACACCCCTCCTGTAATACAGTGCGCATGCCTGCACACAATACTCCATGTGTGCACTAACGATCGATTTGTACAGTGGGATAAAACCTCAGCCCTTCTGCATGCGACTGTAGCACATAACCTGAACAGTTACTTCCTAACCTGATTGGCAGTATTTGAGCACTGAGTCATGGATTTAAAATCTTGGGTCATAAGGACGCCGCAATCCTCCATCTGCGAAACCTGTTGCATTGGAGTTCCATTTAGTAAGTATGCATCAGCTCTTGTTGCCAATAGCTAACACTTGTTTAGATTCAAAGCTATGTCCCCTTGGACCGACCATCTATGGACTACCTATAGATCTCTTTATAGGTTCAACCCTGTCATTTTGACACCATCAGCGAACATAACGTATGTATTTTGAAGATCCTGTGCCAGATCGTTAATGAATATGAGGAATAGCAAGGGACCTAGCACTGAGCCTTGGGGAATCCCATCTGTAATCATCCCATGGTTAGAAATGTAGTCACCCACCTTGACTCTAAAGGTGCGATTGCGCAAAAAGGCTACTATGCAATCCCTTGCTTTACCAATTATGCCTAGAATCTGAACTTGGAAGTCAAACAGCCGATGGCTGACAGAGTCAAATGGTTTACAGAAGTCTAAATAACAGACTTCTACGTTTTCTTTCCTCATCCATACGTTGCGTGACTTCATCTAGGAACACAAGCAGTTTTAAAATACATGGTTTCCGTTCAACAAAACCATGTTGTACCGGTGTTAGAAGTCGACTGCTAGTCAGGTGTAGGTAAATCTGCCTTCTGATCAGTCTCTCCAGGCATTTATACAACACTAACATTACACTAACGTGCCTATGGTTTTGTGCTTCGTGTTTTGGTCCAGCCTAGTGCAATGCCACTACGGTAGCTATATGCCAGTCTAGGTCTAGCAGCGAGGGTCTCTGTTGTCCTCGGTACCTCGTTGCTTTTGTCGCATGCTGTGTCAGAGCTCTTCCTTGTAGAAACTGCAAGAATGCAACCTCGGGGGGGGGNCCTCGTTGGCCATGCTACCTCCGAAAAACTGAAGTCTCTAATGATAAAGAAGAGCTGGTATTCTACCAAAGTTTCTTGTATGATCATTAGCAGCCCCGTATCTTCCCCTGGCGTTGTATTGGGGGCTCTATATATTCACACTACACCCACTTGCTTACTAGTTAAATACAGCATCCTGTGTTCTGTAAATTCAGCTACATTCCCCTCTGTTTTAGGACGGACTTGACCAGCAGCAGTACCCNTATGGTTTTGTGCTTCGTGTTTTGGTCCAGCCTAGTGCAATGCCACTACGGTAGCTATATGCCAGTCTAGGTCTAGCAGCGAGGGTCTCTGTTGTCCTCGGTACCTCGTTGCTTTTGTCGCATGCTGTGTCAGAGCTCTTCCTTGTAGAAACTGCAAGAATGCAACCTCGGGGGGGGGGCTCGTCAGTGCGTACCTCGTTGGCCATGCTACCTCCGAAAAACTGAAGTCTCTAATGATAAAGAAGAGCTGGTATTCTACCAAAGTTTCTTGTATGATCATTAGCAGCCCCGTATCTTCCCCTGGCGTTGTATTGGGGGCTCTATATATTCACACTACACCCACTTGCTTACTAGTTAAATACAGCATCCTGTGTCCTGTATATTCGGAGTGGCTAACTCCAGCTACATTCCCCTCTGTTTTAGGACGGACTTGACCAGCAGCAGTACCCCGCCTCCTTGTCTACCATCAGTCCTATCCTGTCTATAGCTTGTATACCCGTTGAAATGGGCAATGATTTGCTCCTTTTTCTGCCAGGAATGATTAGTACTGACTGTCTGATCCTCAGGAGCGGATTCCTAACTCCCCCCACAAGCCCCTGATAATACAAGCATTCGTGTACCACACACTGAGAATGTCTGCCTGTAGCTATGGTGGAGATTGCCTACCTATAGCATCGGAGTCCTCGGGCGTAATAAAGAGGATCCACCTCGCTCTTTGCCATAACTTTGAAGATGGGTACGGCATCGACTACCCACGACAGACCACCTTTGGATTTTTCTATACTG